AACATTCATCAAGTCACAGCAGGTCAAAAACTTAGTTTCCAGTGCATCTCTTATTAAACATACCTAAATAGTTGCATGTAAACCTCACATTTCTTACTTTCTGTAAAGCACCTGCTGACTAATTTATCGATTCAAAGTCTGTGGAAAATATACCAGCTTTAATGAAGACACATGATGTTGCCAATTAACAATGACAATTTATTTGTACAGGTCTTAGGAGGAAAAATTGTATCTGCTCAATGAATCATGTATTGACGAATCACTGTGTCTAATCTTTGTAAATGTTCCTCCCTGTGGCAGATTCAGCATGCAGGTGCTGCTGAATGGGAGGCGGTTTCCTGTCGCAGAGGCGTCAAGCAAGAAGGTTGCGAAAAAGGACGCTGCTGCCATCACCCTGAGAATGCTCACCACAGAGATGCTGAGCACGGGAGACGATGTGGACCAAGTGATGGAGGTACTCCCAGACCCTAGTGCAAGTTCTTCATTAAATGTGTGGAAAAAAAGCTCCCATTAGCCATCTTAAGACCCCCAAATCTTGCATCGGAGGTTGGTCACCCACTCGACATGTAAGTAGAGAGTAGCTGGGCAATGTCTTTGATATAAGACTAGATATTGTCTTGGACTTTGGAAATCTTAATAATAAGTGTAGATTAATTTCGTTTTGTAAACTTGCCAGAATGTTTTAGCTTCACTATTATTTACCAACTTATTTATTACATCCATATTACTGATTATTTATATATGCAGTGTACTACTGTAAATATAGGAACTACATTATGTTTTCCTGGTGTAAAACAAATCAATGATCATAAGGTGCAAATAATTAGATTCAGAAAACAGGTACATGACAAGATGTACAACAATGGAAAATCTACGTAAAAATCAAATAAAGTTGCAATTTCAAATGTAACCAATGTGATATGTAAATGTTGTTTCGCTCAGCCTTAGTAGAGAATAAACTCAAGTTCTTTATATAGGAGGGAAGAGAAGGGCTTTTGCACATCTTCAAAATGAGTATAATGTCTTTAGAAAACTAGCAGATCGCCCTGGAGGCTGAAATAAATTATTGTGTGGCCTCTGTCACGCTGTTCTGCTCAATTTGCTCAATACTGTTCAAATCTCTCCTTCTCCCCTCCCAGCCTCAGTTGCCCCTGGGCTCCTCCAGTGATGGCAGTGGGTCTGGGACTACATGTCCCTCTTCGCCCCCTCTGACTGCAGGCGAGGGCCCGGACTGGTCCACCAGTCGGAACTCAGCAGCAAAGCCCCGGGCTCTAGCGTACTTCAAAAGACCCAACACTGCGTTGTTGTTGAGGTTTTTAATGAGGTCCCCGACCCCTGCCTCGTGAGCCACTCGCAACTCCCTGGAAAAAATACATTTCTTTAAGAATTCAAAGTTTTGGAACATTATTGAAAGTAATTTTCCGCTAACAACACTTTTTCTCTGCTCGTGTTCCCTTGGGACCTTTGGTTCTTAAAGTGACTGAGAAAAACTATTAAATCCTCCTCTTTGCCCCTGCTCAGGTTCACATTTCAGGCTAAGCTGGGCGCACGCTGGTTCCCTGCAGTGTGTGTGCGTCCAACAAGAAGCAGGGAAAACAGGAAGCAGCAGATGCCGCTCTACGGGTTTCTGATTGGAGAGGGCAGCCCGCACCGGGGAGCTAATCCCAGCTGAGGTACTGACTTCTTAATGGTTCACATTTTCTGTCATGAAACATTAGCCTTCTCTTGCTCACCGTGGGGATTACGCAGAGCATAATGGAGTTACAGTCAACTAGGGGTGGGCGATACCACAAAATCTGGATTCGATCCGATACCAAGTAATTCAGGGCCAGTATCGCTGATACCGATATCGATACCGATACTTTTTAAAATGAAAAGCGTCTTATGTACTTTCATATAGGGGAGAGCTGCATGACATGATTTTTGAGCTGAAAGCATCATAGACTAAATCTGAATTCATTTTCATGAATAAAGACAGGACCGTTTTTATAGACAAACGTTTTATTTTTGCAAATTTATAGTGCAAACATGAAAAATAACAATACAAAGTGGCCAGAGTAGCGAACTGCTTCTTGCACACATCACAGTTCGCTAAGTTTTCATTGTCAGTTGTGAAATAGCTCCACACAACGCTCCTCTTTCTCTCAGCCATCATGCACGTGTGTGTCGCACTCGCGAGTCGCTGGCTGCTGCTGCCCTGCTGGCAGTCAGCTTGATAATCGGCGTTCAGGCAGGGAGCGCTCGATGAGAGGAGGACAGCAGTGGAGAGAAAAGAGCGCATATACTTGTGTTCGTCTGCACATAGTTTTTGATGAAATTGACGAGTAGAGGAGAGGGGGAAAAAAGTATCGATCCTATTGGCTCTAGTATCGATATTTTGAAACGTAACGTAATATCAGTAGTATCGATATTTTGGGATCGATCCGCCCACCCCTACAGTCAACACCTGCATGTAATTGGTTAACCACCTCACATGGGCAAATCACACATAAAAAATAACATCTGCACACTCAGACTAACATGTAACCTCAGTTAGAACATAATGAGTCTTAAGGTAACTACACCCTGAGGCCCCGGCTCCACGAGGACGAAAACGGGTTGAATCCGCATATTTCTCATGCGTATAGCCCTCTAAGCTCGACGACGCCGTAAGGGAAACGTAGAAGAAACAGACCCCGCAAACGACAACGGGTCCAAAGGTGGCTAGATCTGGGAACGGAGCGCTCTGGGGGGTCCAACGGGGCCGTGGAGTCGCCTATACGGTCATTCGTTTTCATAGCCCCGCCTCTCCCCGCCTCACAGTCATTAATACTTCAGACGTACCAAATATTAAATAATGCTCATTTCCTTTTTGATTTTGCCTGTCCTGTTTGCACCCCTCTCTCTAGCTCCCAGTGAGTGGCAGCACTTTGCACGACCAGATAGCGATGTTGAGTCACCAGCGCTTCAACGCCCTGCCCACATGTATCCAGCACAGCCTTCTGGGACGCAAGATTCTCGCCACCATCGTCATGAGGCGGGGGGAGGGCCTGGGGACCGTTGTCAGCCTGGGAACTGGTATATCCGTCAACTTTTGCATGCATTTTTCCTTGATGTGAAGAAGTTTTATAGAACTCTGTGCTTAGAGGCATATACTGTCAGAAAGCCGGACTAGGTCACTGCTGACCAAGAGGCGTTGCATTGGTTCATGCTCTGACATTGAATATGTTTCTATTGTTTTGCTTTTCTGTCAGGAAATCACCGTGTCAAAGGGGAGGAGCTGAGCCTTAAAGGGGAAACTGTTAACGATTGCCACGCCGAGATCATCTCCAGAAGTGCAATTGAAATGCTCTGGGAAGTGTCTGCCTAAATCACATTGTACCTGTGACTAAGCACTACTTTAGCCCGTTCTGTTTTTGCAGGATGAGGGGGAGATCCAGGTTTGCCTCTGGAGGGAGTCCAATCTGGTTCCCATAACAGTCCGGCAGTGGCTCAGTCAGTAGGGGCTTGGACTGGGAGCCGTTAGGGTCGCTGGTTCAAGTCCCCGACCAGACCTAAATATGGAGTGTGGACTTCTACTTGGAGAGGTCCCAGTTCACCTCCTGCCCTGCTGTGGTTGCCCTTGAGCAAGGCACCGGACACCCCCCTTCCCCCCCACTCCCATTGCTCCCCGGGCGCTGTACAATAGCTGCCCACTGCTCCTAGTACTAGACTCCTTGTACTAGGATGGGTTAAAAGCAGAGGCCAAATTTCACTGTGTGCTGTGTGCTCTGCATGTGTGACCATTAAAGAGGGTTTCATCCCTCCCTATTCTTCTAAATAGATGGCATGTTGATCCTGGTGAGCCATCTGCGTGGCAAAAATGCCCCGAACCACGGTTTCTCCTTCCACTCCACAGCCTTCACGGAGGTAGAGGTGAGTAAAGTACTCGAGGTGTTTTACTCATGCGCCCTATATGGCTAGTATTTTACTAAACATCTGGCAACAATGACTAAATTGTATGTTTATGTTCTGTAGCTTCTTTCCATGACAACAAAAATCAAGGTGGAGGGACTCCGCGTTTTAGAATGTGGAGACGCGGAGCTGCTACAGGAGAACGGGACCAGGATCGTAGTAGATCGAGCCATTTGGTTGAAGTACGAACCTCCAATAGTCGCCATGCCAGAGTTTAATTTCATCTTTACTACGTTGGCATCTGTGCACGTCACATGCATTTAAAACGTTAAAAACACACCATGCCCCTATTTGCCCACCCTGGACTAATAAATGTCCTTGGTGATTAACACAGGGGGGCAAATTGAATCTCTCATAAACCTGTAGTGAAGGAACACCGTCCTCTCCCCCAGAGTGATCCTCTCCCCCAGAGTGATCCCTCTCCCCCAGAGTGATCCCTCTCCCCCAGAGTGATCCCTCCCCCCCAGAGTGATCCCTCTCCCCCAGAGTGATCCCTCTCCCCCAGAGTGATCCCTCTCCCCCAGAGTGATCCCTCTCCCCCAATGCACCCCCACAGTCTGAGGTAGAACATCTGATGAACTAGTTGGACAAAAACACAGGAACTAACATTAAGCTAATTGAGGAATTGATCTCCAACAATTAATGTAATGTTAAAAGCTCGTTGAGCCAATTTATTTCAAATAAGTAATGTGTAAGTGGCACGGCCTTGTTGAATTTCCTTTTGAGTTTCACGCTCTGTGGCATTATTACAATGATGTTCACATTTTTTGTCAACAGTAGTCATCCTTCGGGTTGGTGGTGATAAGCTTTATTCTGAGCAAAGCCACTAGGTTGCTAAACTACTGTTATCTTAACAATTTGTGATTTATTATTGAATGTCTTTGCTTGCAAGTGTGTACGGGGACAAGCTGCGCGGACAGGTGGAAGAGCGCTTGTCTTTCTATGAGACGGGCGACGTGCCACGCAAGAATCTGGATGTCATGAAGCTGTGAAAGAGGTGAGTGCAGAAAAGAAGCTCTTTACCCATGGATCAAATGTGTCCTATAAAAAGTTCAGTCTGTAAATGCTGTGGATGATGACAAGCTTTGTCCTGACCCTACTGTGGGGGTTTTTAAAATGATTTAATGAGCCTGACGCAGCATTAGGATGTAGAAATGATGAACCAAACAAGCCAGTTTGCAACCATTTAATAATTTTTTTTGTCCTAGGCTACTGAGATCAAGCGGAAGCGTGAAAAGAAGACGCTGGCGAGACCAACGGTGAAGCTGAGGTAAGCAGTGGTTTTAGTTTCAGGACTCGCATGTTTTGATTTGAGATTTGACCCTCACATGGTCCTCTCAGTGTACGACATGCTAAATTATCATGACTCTGAACCATTGGCTGGTCCCAAATAATGGACCCGATCACTGAAGTGAGTCAGACATTGCATCCACATAGAGCAGGATGTATATACATTGAGGGCTTGGAGTAAACATGAATATAGTTATTAACCTTTTTTACTGTCTTACAGGCAGAAAATGGAGACGCAGACACAAAGCCAGCGGCCGAGGAGATGGAGGTCGAGGCAGAGGAAGCCCCTGCTGCACAGAACGGAGCCGAGGAAACCCCAGGGAAAAAGACGTGGAGGTTGCTGTGGTCGAAGATAACGGAGCAGAGGTGTCTCTGTCTCTGTGTGTGTGAGCCACATGATGACATGTATAGATGCCGCAGCCTCCGGGCCGTGAGGACCTCTCATCTATCACCCTAGTCTGATGGCTGCTCGTTAATGAGGACCAGTGTTTCCGCCAGACCAGGGCTGAGAGGGCGTCCACCCCGAGAGCGGGGGGGGGCGGGTGCTTGAATTTTGACTTGAGCCGTCCCTTATAGATACTGTCTTTTTACGTTAGTGAGCCGGATCATTTGGCTCGGCTCTCTTAAAGCGCCGGCTGTGTTTCGGCTCCCCAAGCGGCTCTTCATGTTACCACAGTTTACCACGGAGCCTCAGTTTCGCCGCTGCGAGGCTCTGGTGTTCACGCGCGTGCTCCACTAGCACCGCTCATCGCGTCCCAAATCGCGCACGTTCCGTGTTGTGCTGTAGCAGGCACCGCCGATGTCGGGGAAACAATCTTCAATACTCCGAAAAGAATCCCACCAGACTCCTTTGCCTCTCCAACAGAGGGATGTCCTTTTTCCTATTTGTTATTTCAAGCGATTAAAAACTCTCGACTCAACTCTCATGTTGATCCTGGTGAGCCATCTGCGTGGCAAAAATGCCCCGAACCACGGTTTCTCCTTCCACTCCACAGCCTTCACGGAGGGTAGAGGTGAGTAAAGTACTCGAGGTGTTTTACTCATGCGCCCTATATGGCTAGTATTTTACTAAACATCTGGCAACAATGACTAAATTGTATGTTTATGTTCTGTAGCTTCTTCCATGACAAAAAAAATCAAGGTGGAGGGACTCCGTGTTTTAGAATGTGGAGACGCGGAGCTGCTACAGGAGAACGGGACCAGGATCGTAGTAGATCGAGCCATTTGGTTGAAGTACGAACCTCCAATAGTCGCCATGCCAGAGTTTAATTTCATCTTTACTACGTTGGCATCTGTGCACGTCACATGCATTTAAAACGTAAAAACACACCATGCCCCCTATTTGCCCACCCTGGACTAATAAATGTCCTTGGTGATTAACACAGGGGGGCAAATTGAATCTCTCATAAACCTGTAGTGAAGGAACACCGTCCTCTCTGCGGATCCTGTCGGGAGAAACAAACACAAATGCAATGACTTTGGTTGTGTTCAACCCACTGCACAACATGGTTCATGCAATGGTAGTAAACCTCTGCTTAACACCTTTTCTTAATCTATCCTTCAGGTATGGACATCTCACCCATTGATCTGATCAAGGTGCTTCCGGTTTTCGCTATGAGTGGTCGCATTTTCGAGAGCTCCCGCTTTGGAGGTTATTCCTCACGATTTTTTACATATTTCATCCTCCTGACAATATGGATTATGGACTCCTACCTCAACTCATCAATGAGGGCAACATCACTTAGAGAAGGAGAGTAGTGAAAGCAGGGATAAAATGAACCACAATGACTTTTACCTTCTCAACGGCTGGGAAAGGAAACACCTCGCTTTTGGAAGTGCAAGCATTCATGCATTATTAACTGCAAACCCGACGCGAAAGTACTTACCCCCGTCAGGCAAACTAGACCGAAGAAGTATGATCGTCTTGGTCTTATTGTTAGCGGGAGACATCCATCTGAATCCGGGCCCGGTGCAGACAAGAAGCCATTCCTGCAGGCTCGAGGAGCTAGCATCACAACTAGCATCACAACTAGCATCTCTTCCGCTACAGCAACAACTACGCGACGACAACAGAGACCATGGAGACAGCGGAGACCGAGGAATCAACGGAGACTTCGACATTTCCCCCGGGGACGCCTCGGCAGACAGACACGCATGAGGCAGTGACGAGAGGAAGAGAACCGAGATCCGAGGGAAACAAATATCCACCATGTTGTTAGCCACCCTGCTAGCATATCGACGGCTCCTAAAGCTACAACGGAGCCTCCCTCCCCCCACCACCCCACGCTCCAAGCACCACGGCAGGCCGCAAGCCGTTTGCTGTAACGGACAAAGACAAATATCTTCAAGCTGACGACATTATGCATTTAAACAACAAAAATGGACTACATATTTTTCATCTGAACACTAACAGCCTGAGACACCAAACTGGCTGAAACTCAGGCAACTGTTCATGAACGGTTAAGGCAAGCATATTATGCTTTTTCTGAGACCAAATTGGACAATTCCATTACAGATTCAGAGATTGAAATTGAAGATTATCTTGTAGTGAGAAGGGACAGGAACGTGAATGGAGGTGGTGTCTGCATGTACATACATAAAGACACCAATTTCAAAAACCGTACTGACCTGCATCATGAAAATATTGAATCTGTGTGGGTTGAAATTCTTTTTGACAATGCTAAATCTGTAATAGTCGGGACAATCTATAGACCACCGGAACAGAGTGACTTTTATGATACATTAGATGGGTGTTTGGCTGATGTGGGGGATGTAGAGACAATTATTATTGGAGACTGGAACACGGATATGCAACGTAAAGACACGTCCGTCTTCAAGTCCTTCAGTAGGATTTGTGATCTGCACGGCTTCAGCCAGCTAATCACCCAACCCACCCGGGTATGTGAAACAACACAAACTACCATTGATCTCATTCTGACCTCTGACAGGTCCAGGATCTCCAGTAAAGGGGTTATAGCATGCGGTTTAAGTGATCATTATATGATATTCTGTACCCGCAAAAAGCTTAAAACAAAAGGCCGGCTGTCACAAAACAGTCATATCTAGAGACCTCAAAAACTACTCTAGCGAGGCCTTTAACCTAGAACTGGAGAGCCTGGACTGGTCAGATGAGCTCAGTGGTACACAAGTTGAAGAAACATGGCTTGGTTTCAAAAACAAATTCTCTGCAATACTCAATGATTTGGCCCCCCTAAGAACAACCAGGGTAAAAAATCGCGCTGAGCCGTGGATTGCACTCCGGCATACTGACCGCCATGAAAACCAGAGACAAAAAATGCTCTGAGTTTCATAAAAGTCAGTCAATGCTTTCCAAAAGCACGAGCAGTGAACTCCAGGCCCACGTGACTGAACTAAAAAATTGAAAGAAACAGACTAAGAAATGACGTAAGCTCCATGATCAAAACTGCCAAAAAGAATTTCATCAATGACAAAACTGAGGAAAACAAAAATAACCCCGTGAACTTTGGAAATTACTCAATAACCAGCTTGGCTGCAGTAAAAAACTCAAAACGAGATTTTCAAACGTAAACATAAAGACAGATAACAGGCTCATCACAGACAAACTGGATGTGGCCAAGTACTTGAACATTTTTTTCACAAACATAGCCACAACTCTTGTAAATAAATTACCCTCCCACTCAGGGCTTTTTGGAGTAGATCACATCATGACCTACTACAAAAACCTAGGGGTACGCAAAGATGATTTCAGTCTAGCAAGGGTAACAACAGCAGAGGTACTCATTAAACTGAGCGCCCTCAAACCTAACAAGGCCACTGGCCACGACAATATCCCCTCCAAATTCCTCAGAGACACAGCAACCGCCATCTCACCAGTCATAGCTCACATAATTAACCTCTCCATAAAACAGGGAAAAGTACCCAAAGACTTCAAAATTGCAAGAGTAACCGCCCTGCACAAAAAGGGCAGCAAATTGGACCCAGGCAACTACCGCCCTGTTTCTATACTTACCTCCATCTCGAAAGTCATGGAAAAAATAGTATATGAACAGGTCGAAAAGTACCTCGCAGAAAAGAAACTAATCTATGAATTTCAATCTGGCTTTAGAACATCCCACTCCACTGACACATGCCTTCTTTATTTGAACGACCACATCAAACAAGAGGTGGACGAGGGTAAATACTGCGGCATGGTGATGCTGGACCTACAAAAGGCTTTCGACACTGTCAATCACCCCATTCTGATTGACAAGCTAAAAGCAATTGGTTTTGATAAACTATCGGTGAGCTGGATGCAATCCTACCTGGAGGGGAGGAGAACAGATGGTGGAGGTAAACGGTACTCTGTCCCCCCCCCCTCCCAGTGAGCTGTGGTGTTCCACAAGGAAGCATATTAGGTCCGTTACTGTTCCTAATTTATGCAAATGACATGTCATCAGCATGTGACTGCAACTTGTTCCTGTTCGCGGACGACTCAGCCCTGCTGGTCTCTGACAGGAGCAGATTGCAGGTTGAAAAAACCCTCAGCTCCGAGCTCGGCAGAATCTGCACCTGGCTCGCCGATAATAAATTATCATTACACCTGGGTAAAACAGAGTCCATTCTCTTCGGTTCGAAACATAATCTCAGCAAATCCGACGACTTCTCAGTTGCAGTGGGTGACATTATTGTCACAAGTAAGAAGGAAATTACATACCTAGGATCTATTCTTGAGGCAAACCTCTCCTGTGACAAAATGGCATCCAATGTAATAAAAAAAGTCAATCAAAGAACTAGATTCCTATACCGGATCTCCTCTCTGGTAAACAAAAACACCCTGAAAACTCTGGCAGGAGCACTCATTCAAGGGTACTATGACTATGCTTGCACGTCATGGTACCATAGCACCTCCAAGGCGCTAAAAATAAAACTTCAAACATCGCAAAATAAACTGGTCAGACTACTGCTTGACCTTTCATCTAGAACCCACCTCACCTCTGCCCACTTTGACAACCTAGGATGGCTTAGAGTAGACGACAGAGTACAGCTACTTGCAATGGGCCTGGTCTACAAGATCCACTACACCTCTATGGTACCCATGTACATGTCAAAATTCTTCCCAAAGGTCAAGGAATACCATGATCATAACACCAGAGGGAGCTCCACAAATCATGTAAAACCCAGATTTGGCACAAAAAAAGGGGAATACACGTTTCGCAATTATGCCACATCAAGGTGGAACGCTCTTCCCACAACTGTAAAGGAAAGTAAAACTATACTTACCTTCAAAACCTCTCTTAAAGAGCACCTTCGGGGGAAAGCATTGCAAAACTGGCCCCGGTAATGGTACAAATCTCAACCTGTCGTACAATGGACAGCTTCCCCCCCCCATCTATGTATATACTCGCATTTTAGACTCTGTTACTAACTGTATATCTGTAGACTTGGTATGTCTTAAATGTCCGGTTAGGATGTATTAGAACGAAATCTAAATGAAAATTGTAAATAAGCCATCTGTATGTAAAAAACCACCTGTATGTAAATTGTAAATAAGCCATCTGTATGTCAAATATGTCTTATATGTCTTAAATGATATGATGAATTGGAAATGGGGGACCCTGATGTAAACAAGACGAAAGTCTTTCTCTGGTCTGCATCCCCTTAATAATTGTATGTTTTGAGCTGTACTGTACTGTACCCAATATACAAGCTGTTAATAAACTTTTCAATCAATCAATCAATTCAATCAATCAATCAACATTGAGAGATTCTCCACTCGCGTGGTGGCTCTGGCTGAATATCCACTCGGGCTGCAGGAGTACCTGCGCTGCAAGATGGCCCAAGTGGACCCAGCTTTAATCTGAGAAGTGGCGAGTTAAAGTGCAATGTGTTCACTGTATATAAATTACTCTAGGACCAATGATGTGTTTACCAAATCTGTCAATCCCCTGAATCTCTGTGTTGATACTTCCGGTCCTGATGGTCCTCCTGAGTATTCCATTTCTCATGGTACCTCCCCCAAAGCTCTGTTGGTCATTGAGCCTAATGCCCCTTTCTTCTTCAGGTTGGAGCTCGTCTGATCTCCCATGCTGGCAAGTATATTTCAAAGTCGGGCCGGGCAGTAACGACATCAGAGTTTCTTCCTGAAGAATGTGAACCCATTTCATGAGGTCCCCCCCCCCCCCTCCCTGCTGGGGAATAAAGTGGCTACAGTGATGGCAGGGCGGGGCAGGAACCGAGCAGGGTGACTGGAGAGGGCTAAGGTCTCCTCCAGAGTGATCCCTCTCCCCCAATGCACCCCCACAGTCTGAGGTAGAACATCCAAGTTATATTTCAACTATAAAAGTGGCTGTGATGACAAACTTGCCCTCACTGATTAGATCTGATTGAGACAACTTAGATAACTGAGCCACACTAAGGGAAGGACCCTTCAGACTGAATCAAAGTTAATGCATTTCTGCTCTAATTGCTGTCTCTCTTTCTTCAGGTGTTGGATAACGCTGAT